ATAAATCACAGTAATAAATATTGCCAACGAGTTTTCGCCAGTGTACAGTTTTAATTTTCTCTCTGATTTATTAGCATAAATACTTACTGTATTCGTGTTTGTGTGTGTGTGTGTGTAGGAGAGAGAGAGAGAGACGCGGAGACAGAGACTTGCAGAGTTGGCACGACAATAAATCACTGACGCCAACAAAAATTCAGACATTTTTGTTCAGCAATCAAATTTCATTAGAAACGGAAGTTATGAAAGTTTATGTGAAAAATGATGTTTTCCAAAAGTAATAATAATACTAATAATTATATTCAAATTTGCCAGAAGGGAAATTCACAAAATCAAAAGTATACTTGCTTTGTGAATAGTCGATTTTTAGTCAAACATCTTTTATTTTTCAGGTTATAGAGCGACTGGTACGACTAGCCGAATGTCATCGCTGTCGAGTATTTGTCCTCACTTCTGACCGTTTTGTACCCCACTGGTCACGACCTAGGTAACTAATTACTTGAATAGGATACAGAGGTCAGGTGCTAGGACAAATACTTGCCAGCAATGACACTCATGAGTGCCAGTTGCGCTATCATCGTCACGAATCGGAGGAAGTTGGAATTCATACCCCAGCCAATGAGGAGTCGTTTCCCGGTGGCTTACTTTCTTGAAACCGGCAGGTCCTCGGTTTTGAACCCTCTGTGACGGTGTGTACTGATGAAGAGTCGCAAACTAGGACAACAGAAGCAGCTATCCAGTACTCCTTGATGATTTTCCAATGGTTCTCTAACAGATCTCAACTCATAATGAAATCTTGTAACCAATCAAATTAAATCTCTGCAAACCAACTTTTATTTCCCTCTGAAGTTTAATCACGGATTGATATCAGCTAGAGGGAGAACTACTGGAAGTGAGCAAGGAGTTCCTGGACGCCTGTTTCTTTCTAGTTTGAGTTCCAAACAAATCACATCCCTACAAACTAACTCACAAAACTTAATCTGAAGCTTTCTATTGACCAGCACAAATGGGGGAAAAGTTGCCTAGAGTTCTAGTAAGAAGTCGTCACTAGTGTGTTCCACTAGGTCAACTGTGAGGACAAATACTTGCCTATGACGTTGACCGGCAGTCGCACTACATACCACCAATTTAAAAAATCAGAATTCATGGGGTAAGGGATTCCTGCCCAAATGGTTGAATCCAGACAGACAGTATTAAAGATATATGGATGATACTTTCATCATATAAGACGAGAATACCGACATCGAATTGATAACTAAAGAGTTCAACAGTTCACGTCGGAATCAGAGATGAACTCGGAATTCCATTTTTTTTGTGATGTTTTTATAAAAATGAGATTTTATGGTTCTCTTCAAAGATCGATCTGCAGGAAACCAGCACGGAATGGTCAGTACACAAATTCCCATAGCTGGGTTCCCTTTGACAAGAAAGAGAAATCTGATCCATTCCTTATCCTCAAGAATAAGAAAGATACATTCCAGTGATACAATCGACGGGGAGCTGGAGCGACTCAGACAAGTCCTCATAGAGAATGGATATCCTCCAATATTTATTGAGAAAAACATGAAGTTAAAGCAAAAGTTTGAAAGAACCCAGACGGTGCTGCTGAATAAAATGCTATTTATGAGCATTGATTCTAAAGGTGATACCTCAGCTGAGATCCTGAAGAATCGTTTATACAGATCACTGAGGAAAGCCTTCCTCTATGCAGAGGAAAGCCTTCATGGCTGAGCGACGGATCAATTTCTACAGCCGACAAATAATCAATGGATGTGTGAAGGATAAACTGCCGCTTTGGACGCGCTATTTCAATGTGTGTTTATAAATTCACCTGCTCGTGTGGAGCTAGTTATATTTGGCCACCCACATAAAGCGCACACTTTCCCAACGTATCTCTGAACATTATCCGGCATGGTTAGCAAAAGGACAATGCAAAACAACTACTAGTCCAGTTCTCGAACACTTGGTGGACTCAAGCCACGTAGCTCCACCACAGTCATCTTTCAAGATCATCTACAAAGTGAAGCCAAATGGTACAAAGGGCGTCATGTTTCGGATTTTGTGTATGGAGGAGGCACTGGCGATTCGTCAATACAACCCTGAACTCTGTATACAGAAAAAGTTTGTCCAGTCTGTTGGTCTACCTTGGTGTTAACCTGTTCACCAGTTGATCCCTGTAAAACATTTTTTTTTAATGATTAATTTGAATGATTACTTAAATAATTAATTCACTATTATCGCTCTCATGTGTTCATTCTCACACCCTATTCACACTTGTTACATAGACACTCAATTATCTTTCTTCTCAGTCAACAACGCTTTCTTCCTTTGTGCTGTTGAGTACTATGTAGCTTACAAATTTTATTTGTTTTTACTTCTAAAGCCACTCCTGAGTAATTATATCAGTTATGTCACCCTCTATAAATCAATAACTGACTACTATACTTTTTCGGTAAATATAAATAAGATTGTACAGCTTCTGAAGATGATTTCGTCAATAAAGAAAACTTTCTTCACTGAATGTTTTTTTTTTAAATTTTTTTGGTGACATATTAAGTCCTCATGTGTTTCCAAGTAATTATTCTTTCTTTTGTACATTTCTGCTCATTATAATAGTTCTTATGAGTCTCATTTTTAATTTTTTGTCTCTGTCTATAGCAACTTGAATTACTACACGCCTGTGTAAAATTCTGCGTTGAAACTCATTCGTCCAGTCAGTCGGCCAGTCATATTGTGGTGGTGTGATACAGACAGTGGGTTCCGACAGAATATTATTGTCACAGTCAGAATTACTGTATTTGTTGGTGTTGACGTCTGAATACTACTCCCAAAGTTCAATACTAGATTAACAACAGAATACTGTATATGTAGTTGAACATCCTCTTTCATGTCGTTTAATCTAAACCAAAATCACATGCTAAGAGATTCTTTAAAGAATGTAAACTGCATGTTGACCACTTCACCTTTTTGGGAAGTTGTATCAGCACCAACGGACTGATTAGTGACGAAATCTCACCACGGATCCAAAAAGATCCAGCTGCTTTCTCTAACTTACACCATCTCTGGCGTAGGCGTGACATCGGGCTATCAACCAAGGGACGTATGTACTACTGCTCAGCAGTTCGCTCCGTCCTTCTCTATGGCTCTGAAACATGGCCAATACGAGTTGAAGACATGGAAAGGTTGACTGCTTTTGATCATAGATGTCTACGATCTCTTTCTCACGTTAGGTGGTATAATAAGGTAAGTAATGTTGACGTTAGGCGTAGAGTGCTGGACAAACAGGGAAAATCAATCGACGAGGCTATAAATTTACATATACTAAGGTGGCTAGGTCACGTGCTGCGCATGACTAACCATCGCCTCCCCCTCCCCGACGTGTGGGCATTACTAGCTGATATAGGTGCAGGTTAGGAAAGAGTAACTGGTGGCCAAACAAAAACATGGCCTCATCAATCCATGAAATCATTGACAGTTAAACTGAATCAGGTAGGGTAGGAGATGCAGACTTCCGGGTTAGGGCCCTCGGGACTCTAGGAATCAATGGCTGGAGACAATAGGTGATATGGCTCAAAGTGATCGTTGTCAATGGCCAGCGCAGATGTATTCAGTCTCTGTAATCTTTCATATTTCTTTCTGCCATTACCCATTCCGTTTCACTCTTATTCTTGTCAAACTCTATTGATTCTCTTCATTCATCTTCTTGTCTACCTATGTGTGCTATTTGAAACGTGGCAACTCTAACTGCTGCACTTCAGTGCCAAGTTCTATGTTGAATTCAGACAGACAGATATAGATAGGTGTTCACTGTCATCTGAACACTCTGAGCTACAATCTTTGAATGTTCAGCATGCGATTCGCTCCTGCTGAATGTCAGATGATGCTACAGGACTGGACTACATTGACTTCTAGCTTAGAAATAGGGAGTGGAATGTTTGGTGGAGCGCGTTCACCACTTCACCTATTTGGCAAGTTTCATCATCCCAACGCCAACGAATTGATTTCTGACGAAATCTCGGCACGGATACAGAAGGTTAGTGTCATATATGTCGGCCAACTTACGCCGTCTCTGGCATAGATGTGATATTCGGTTATCGACCAAAGGGCGTGTTTACTACTCAGCAGTCCGCCCCGTCCTTCTATATGTCTGAGACCTGGCCATTGAGAGTGGAAGACATAAAAAGCCTGGCTAGCTGTTTTTGATCATAGGTGCTTGCGTTCTATCTTCCATTGAAATGGTACACTAGGGTGAGCAATATTGAGGTAAGGCATCGGTCGAGTGCTAGGTATGGAAGGGAAATCAATTGGCAAGGCTGTGAACTCACATCGACTGAGATGGTTAGGACATTTGCCATGCATGCACTACTAGATATCGCCTTCTTCGACGGGCAGTGCTAGCTGACTGACATAGGATCAGGTTGGAGAAGACGTAGCTAGTGGTAGTCAAACATGGCACCGGTCAATGAAATCCACAAGGTAGGAATATATGGACTTCCTGATTGGGGTCCTCGGCTTGCTAGAAGCCAATGAGAGCTGGAGACAATTGGTGATATGACTCAAAGTAATCGCTCTCAGTGGCTGGCTGGTGGGGATGCATCCACACCGTGTGACTTATAATACCCTAATAAACTATATTGTTCTTCATTATTACTATTTCATTTGCCTTATATCTCTGTTTACTGCCTCTGTTTTGCATTTCTTTTTACTTTCTTCTCTGGTCTTGTGTGCTACATGGAGTGTGGGGCAACTCGAACTGCTGCAATTCTGTGGAAAGTTCTATGCTAAAATCGGTCAGTCAGTCAGTCAGTCTGTCTGTCAGTTAGATATAAATAGCTGTTTGATCCCTTGAAAATATATACCTTGGCTTCCGTGTCATGTCTTCTGCTGTTACGATATTAAAACACAATTTAGCCGAGAGAATACACAATACACACAATACTCAAATCAAACTACACCTTGACCGCATGACTGTAACCCTCATCAACATTATCTCTCTCTCTCACCTCTTTATTATGCCATTCTGTTTTCCATTGAGGCATGCATGTTGGTATTTTAGTTAACATTGTCATTGTGATTTGACTGGCAGCATCATTCCACAGGTTGTTTGGTCCAGGTGAAGTTAAACCCATAAATGTGATATGGGCTAAGAGTAGCTGTTGACGATCTGATTGCAATGCATCATCTTCTAATCCAATACCCATTAAATAACCACTTTTTGTTCCACGTGTAAATTGTATACGTAAGCCAAGATTAACTGAGAAATTATTTGATCCAGTTGACATTTGGTCACCGGTTAACTTGTAAAGGACGTCAAGAATTGTATAAACTGCCTAGAATCAAGACATGTAGAAGAAAATAAAAATATTTAAAAAAAATTCAGGTCTGTTAACAGTGAAAAGGTATGAAGAGGTTAGAAGTCTCTGACCCTAGATGTTCGCCATTGATCTTTAGTATTATTACATGGTACATTATGACTGAACACTAACTAGTGTCATGTGTCTAGTCCTTTGTTTACAGCAGATAAAAATCTTTCAGTTCGCTTCACGTTTCTCAACTTCACTTTTGCTTTCGACTCTGTACCTAGATGTCTCTTGCTAAATATAGCTCTCCATGACACAAACCGAGTCCTGGGTCACTAACTGGTTGCATTCCTACTTTTCAAACAGAATGCAGTACACCGTATACAAAGGCGAATCCTCCTCTGCTGTGCTCACTGAAGCTGGTGTCTCCCAAGGTGATGTACTCTCCCCACTTCTCTTTTCTTTCTTTCTACATGACCTACCATCTTCAAATGACATTAATTTTGACAAATATGCTGATGACCTAACTGTATCTCTTTGCCTGTCAAATGTCAAAGTGACTGCTCTAAACTAAATGGCTTTTATCAGAAATCAGCCAATGGTCCAAGGAAAATGGTTTAACATTAAATCCCTCTACATGCCAAACAGTCAATTTCAGCTTTAGGCACAAATCTGACCTAAACAAACTGGTTCGCACTCACGAGGTGTGCAACATAGATGGCACTGAAATAGAAACCAAGTCGGAAATTAAATATCTAGGCGACATTCAATCTGCTGATCTTTCCTGGTTGTCTCATATCTTGATGATTTCTAAGGAAATATTCCGTCTCACCTTCGACATCAAAAAGTTAAGACATTCTGGAATAACCCAACCCTTACTCCTACGATTTGTTAACTCTCGCATTCTGCCTATTATTCTCTATTGTTCCATCTTAGTTATTCTAGGGCTACTGAAGAACGACCATACCTTATTACGTAGGAACAAGATCATATTAATATACGTGTCAAACTTGGGCACTGTATTAGTAAGTAATTCCATATTAGTTTGTCTATTAGATGTATCACACAGGGTTATCAATAAGTAAGTGTCAAAGCTTCTCTTATATGGCTCACTTCCTGTCTTAGATTTTCCTTGTTACTACTTAGTTTTTGTGCTCTGTCACCTAAACATTTCACTAATCCTATTTTTACTGACATAGGATGGGATGATCGGAAGTCCAAATATCTGTTTGAATGTGTGGGTTTTCTGTAAACACTAGTGTTTAACTTCCCATTTTCTTTCCTTTTTACCATAACATTTGAAGTTCCCCTTTCTGACTTTCCAATTTATAAGTGAATTGAATTGCCTCTACCTTCAAGTTGATGTGTTTGCAAAACCTATCTATGTCTTGTGTTCTAAGTACAGTGAATGTGTCATCTACATACCTCCACTATACTTTTGGGGTGGGGCTGAACGTTTCAATCGCCACCTATCCATGAATATATCTGACACAATCAGGGATATCGGTGACCCATGGCAATTACCTCAGTTTGTTTGAATATTTTTTTTCCCCTGGAGGAATTTAAATACTGTGGAAGTCAGGCATAGCTCCACTCCCAGCATTATGTCCTGAAGTGGCACTTTCGGCCTAAGTTCGAGTTTTTTGGTCAGAAATGAGTTCGTTTCTGACTGCCTGCCTCTATAGCCATATTTATTGTTATACGTGGATATATAAACTGACAATGTCAAAACTAACCTTTTTATTTCTTCATTATCTAATTTTAAATTATCTAATCTGTATGTTTTAGTTCATAAAAATTAGTTAGTCTAGATTTTGACTGGCTTTTTAGAGGATTTTACACTATGGCTAAATACTTAATATTATAAGTAGGCAAATTTCTGAAAAATTCTACTACACCAACGACGACACATAGGAGAGAACAAAGAAAACTATAAAACTCAAGTTTCGAAGTCGTGTTGTGGTGAGAGCTGTCTAATAGACTCTCCGCTTACTCTTTGAGTTGATAATTAGTTCATTGGATGACAAAGTTTCGAACACAATTCAATACTATTAAAAAGACGGTTTCAGAGAGAGAAAAATGTTTTCTTTCCAACGAAGTCATCAGCCAGATGACTGTACATTCGTGTATTACAGAGCCTACATGTGTGAGAAAGTTGCAGAATTATTTCGGGTCACAGGTCAGACTAAAGATTCCAATGTGTAATAATCACGAAGATCGGGTAGAGAAGACAAAGTAAGATTATAATTGCTGGAAAACTCGCTAGTTTGGATGATTACCGGGTTAAAGGATGTAGTATTGACGAAATGGGTAGGAGGTTAGGACATATAAAGATAAAAATAGCAATTGTCAAGTATTGGTTTTGTGGGGATTTTGTTTGATTCTATGGAGGATTCCACCATGAGCTGACATCAGTTAGAGAACCACTGGAAAACCAACTGGGAGTACTGTACAGCTGTTTCCTCCTAGTTTGGAACTCTTCGGCAGTACGCACCCACCACGACAGTTCGAACCCAGGACCTTCTGGGTACAAGGCTAGCGAGATCGTAGACCATTGAGCCACTGGGACCCGATCCAATGGTTCTTGAATTCTAACTTCTGCCAATTCACGACATAGTGCGACCACTTCGCAATGTCGTCTTCGATGAGAGTGTTACTTCTTTATCTTCGACCTGTTGTACCCTACTGGTCACGGCTCCCCACTAGAACCCCAGGTTAACTGCCTGAATAGGGCCAGTCGCTAGTGAGCATCAGATTAATTTTCAAGTATTGGTTTTGTGGGGATTTTGTTTGATTGTATGGAGGATTCCACCATGAGCTGACATCAGTAATCACATCTAATGATGCAGATAGGGATTTAAAGAGGTAAATATTACGGAAATAAAAAGGAAGGTTAGACAAGAAAGGTAATGGGATAATCATTATTGGTGAGACCGACTTTTAGTGATGGCTACGGTAAGGACAGTGGTTGAACGTATTTCTTTTGAACCTATAGCGTAGTCATGCGTTTTTGGATTGACAGTGCTTCAGGCACAGTGGTTAGGACTCTCGCCGACCATGCACATGATCCGGGGTTCGAGCCCACGCCGACGCACACTTGATATCTATGGTCTGCCTGCAAAATTTGGGCTACCGATATCCATGCTGAAAATTCCATACTTGTACCAAAAAAAAAAGTATTCTTAGAAGTCTTGATTTCACTCTCTTTGGTAGGTTTCATCGGATCTTGTATATGGCTTTGAAGGACTTTTCAAACGGAGCTAACTGTCCAGAATTTACCAGATTCTCTGTTATCGAACTGTGTACCCCTTTGCTTTCTCCCTTTGCTAACCATGCTGGATAGTATTTCCGAGCGCGTTTTAAAAGAGGACTCATTTTACGGCCAATGTACTCAGCTCCACAAGAGCAAATGAACTTGTATATGCATGTTGAAGTGGTCAAATGTGACAACTTGTCTTTCACATGCTGGGTAAGTAGTTTCTTGCAGGAGAATTTTATTGGTAGGGTGATGGCGAAGTATGTTTTACTGAGAGACTTCAAAAGTCGTCTATGGAGAAGTTCTGCTTCGGTATCACTTTTAAATTTGAGGTTAAATGTCAGCATCTTTTACCGGTAGGCGACTTTGACCTTTTCAGGTGTTTTCCTTGGTTTTAGATTCTCGTCTCTGAATCTAGATGGGGAATCCATTTTCAATCAAAGTCCCTGGAAGAGTTTGTAATTCCATCGGCGACTGACTCTTCAGTGCAAGTCTTCCGGATACTTGAGGAAATATAGTATATTTCAGGTTTCGCTTTCTGCTTTGAGGTACACAGGTTTGAAAGTTAATAAATTGTCCCTTCAATGAAGGCTCTTTGTAGTTGGATTTTCTGAGGGAGTTGTATAATACTACCAGTAATAATAATAGTAATACTAACCATTCTATTCTAAGCAACAACAGTTATTCAGAATGAAAAGTAATGAAACTGTGGAAACTGAAGGTCAACAATTGCTTTATTGCATATCCCCACTAATTGTAGCGTCATAGTCTGTTGCTATGGTGATTTAATTACAAGTTTTATTATTTTGTTTGCTTTTTTTACAATGAAATTTTGAATGAAAAATATTTTTTTTCTGATGTACATGTTATCTGTTGCATTATTCCCTTGAATTTTGTTAAATTTGCCGCGTTTTTATTGAAAAATCATGTTGGATAGGAATATTTGAACAAGGAGGCGGTAAGTTCAAAAGTCAAACGTATACTAGTAAATTTTTATGAAATCATGCCGGTACAATTTGGCATATTTATTCAACCCACCCCCAATCCCCAAACGGATAAAGTTTCAAATTCGTTACTCTGAATCCAATAGAGTCATACAGGAGATCAGTTGAGAGCCAGCTAGAGGCTTGAAGTTTCTGTAGCAGTGGTGTTTATTTTTACAGGATGGGGTTGCTAGCCAGCCTCATATCCAACCTTCCCGTTTTACCAGCTTCATTTCTGCCTTAATGAGGTAAAGAAGTGCGTTGATGGCCGGAGATCGAACCCCGGACCTTGTGCATGGTGAACGAGCGTTCTAACCGCTGTACCACCGACTCATGTTTGATATGCAATTCAACACCGGTAAACTTAAGATGGTTCAGCAGGAATGGTTCAATATGTGGACGCAACCGTCTATCTTAAATTGTATCAGTCCTACTCCATTGACTGTTGACGAAATTTCAACACAGATACATGGCTTGTCATTGTTGGCATACATGAGAGGATGTATGTACCGCGAAGCAGTTAACTGCGTTCTTCTGTAGGATTGTAGGACATAGCTACTGAAAGTGGGTGTGATGAGTCTAGCCGTCTTTAACTATAAGTGCCTACCACTAGTGTTGGGTGTTATTATATGGTCAGTAAGAATGGGGTTTGGAGTAATGTTGTTACGTAAGGAAGAAAAATCAATCAAAGGTATGATGCTACATCGATAAAAGTGGTGATGACATATTTTAAGGGTGTTAAAACCAAACCATAAAGTCTTTGACCGTTGTTTTGAGCCACATAAGGAGGT